ATAACTTACCCTACAAAAAGTTAAAAACACATAAGTTTGCTCTGAAGATTTCTATTGCTTTGAAGTCAGAACTGAAAAATTTCTGTACTAAAACATTCTTGTAACCTTTTCCTCCAAATTACTATCTGTAAATTCTTTGTGTGATTTAACTTACAAAGTCAAAAGTCAACTAAGTTACGGGATTCATACCATAACAAATTTTAGTTTAAATATCCATCCTGTTAAGCATATTCTTAATAACTGTATAAGAAGCGCGAAAGTATATTCCAAGAGGTGGAGGAGCACACACTAGTTATTTAGTTTATTATATTGTTCACATATATGTTGTAAAATTTATATAATTTATATATTATATTATAATTTTTATAAAAAAATTTTACTTTCATTTTATTCTGGATCAACGCGTATAAAATTACTGATTTTTTAATAACAGGGCCATATTTTTTTCCAAATTGATATTATGTGAAATTCTTGTGCTATGTTTCGTTTATCACTTAGTTTAGAATTTAAAATTGAAAATTTTGTAAACTAAAGCATGTTTTCTATCTTTTTCTCTAACTCGATACTATGTAAAATCTCTGTGCTATAATTTAAGTTTTGGCTTAGAAGGGGTTTCCGTTTTTGTGGTGAGAATTTTGACCTTGCAATTGTAGGGTTCTAGATTTGAAATTAGTAATATCAGCTTTTATTTGTGAATATAGATCCAAAAATCATTTCGAGCAAAAAACTTTCGGGACATTTCTGCATCATATCAGTGTAACCATTGGGATTCCTTCTGAAAAACGAAGTTTTTAATGATAAGATTTGTCATAATAACCCATAGGGCTCTTAAGTTCTGATTGCTGTTAATGTTTCGTATATTTTATCGAATCAAATAATTATGCTTGCGTTTATTATTTTCTTTAAGCATGATAATTTTTAAATAATAAATATTTACTGTATTCTTATACAGTATATTCAGACAATTTTCGTTAGAAGATATTTAGAAATAATAGTACCATAAAACATAACAGCTAGGAATATACCAAATTGAACTGCAATGCTATGCCTTTTTGAGTTGAGAAATCTGTATTACTATTTAAAGGATGTAAATAATTCCTCCAATTCTTTTCTAGATGCATTAGAAACATCTTTATCCTTTCGGTTAGGAAACTTACTCTTCAAGTTTAAACCTAGATTTCAAATCAATTACAACACCTTCGTGGCTACTCACTAATATTATATCACTCTTTTGGAACTGACAATGAGCTTTAGAATTCGTATTATACATTATATACATCATTCATTTGGTAAACATGTTTTCTTGTTATTTTCTTTTTACACAGTATTGTATAACTAATTTTCATCGTTACATATACTTTGGGAACTTACTCGTGTATTGGATACAAATATAAATACAAGTTCGATTAGTTTTGAATTGGAAGAGTCCTTGCAAATTTTGGTTACGCCAATATCAAACTTATCAAGAATATGAATGACATTCAAAAATTCCCATTTGTATTTTTAACTTCCCGTAGGGCAAGTTATAGTAATCGCGAAAAAATCGAAAATGAAAATGTTTATATATCTTTACGTTTCAAAGGTTTCTGAATATTTTGGCATACCTTAGAAAAAATGGATGTATATGTGTGTGCGGATAAAAATGTTCGTCGACGATTTTGGGAACACCGATCAATCAAATTCAAAAAACATTCAATTCGTATAGATAAGGAGACGTGCTGATTAGTTTTTGGCGAAAGCAGGTCTAGCTTTCGAAGATACGGGGCAAAAAGAGGCAAAAATGGTGATATAGTTCTTAGAGAACGAAGCGATTTGAATAATTCAAAAAACATTTTATTTGTATTGACTAAACGAAGAACTGTTCAAATTTTTGGAAAGGCAGATCCAGCGGTTATAGAGTTTCAATGAAAAAAAAAGCCATTTGGCGGTCAAAAATGATCAATAGACATATGCACATCAAATTATCAGATATTTTATAGAGATTTTAATAATGTGTACGCCACTTGTGTCAATTTTTTTGGACTCCGTACCAAGATTTTCAATTTTAAAATTCACGTATATGGTTCAAACAAATGTCCTCGATATTTTCGACAGTATGGAATAACCGATTTAGATCATTGAAAACAATGGAGTGCGAATGGTGGGTGTAAAAATGGTCAAGCAGTTTTTGAGAGAACTGATCATCCGATTTGATTAATTCAAAAATCATTTTGTTTGAGTAAAGACGGTGTGCAAAGAAATACATTTACAGAAAATGTAGTAATTTTGAAAACTAAAAAAAATAAAATTTTCAAATTAATCATATTTTCAAAAAATTCAAATTTTCGAAATTTTTCATCATTTTCAAAAAATAAATTAAATTTTAAAAATATAATGCGCTCGTCGCCCAATTTAATAAGCACTTATAAATTTACAGTATGTATTTATAATAAATAATCTATTTGCAATTATTTAAAACAATTATTGGTTATTTTTATTCCTCGAATGTTTAATTACGACACGGGAAGTTCCAGCAATTTGCCTTAAGGCACAATGCCATGCACCCCACTAGTTGCAAATACGGTTTTAAAAAAAGATATTATATATTTTTCTGTATAAATCAATCGTTGTTTAAATACTCAGCCCTCAATGCTTTGGTTATAATGTAAATATGAACTTAATCCGATCACGTACATAATTCAAATCTTATCAGTAATGAATGTCTGTAATCTCATGTGTAATATAAATTAGGACACCTGAGTATATCTTAAGATGCAAGAAGTGTTGAGATAGATGAGTAATTCATAGAAATTATATTGAATTACAATATGGAGAAATTTTCAATATATTAATAAGGAGAAAAATATTTATTTTACCACAACTAAGAAATACAAAATAATATGTGCAATAAAATATTTTGCTAGGGTATAATAATGTGTGTTCAGTATCACACGTATTGTATTTAAAATAGTATATTATGAAATGAAATGAAATGGGTAAATAGGTATTACCTACCCTATATATAGGGTAGTATTTATATAATTAATTTGAGATATTAATTAAAACTGTATTTATTAACCTTCCATAGGGTGAGTTATAGTAATCGCAAATACATCCAAAAAGGAAACTTCTTATATATCTTTACGTTTCAAAACTTCTGAACATTTTGGTATACTTTAGAAAAAATGGATGTATGTGTGTGTATACATTCTTTGAATTTATTGAATTTTTCATCACAGTCACAACAAATATTAACAACAACTGAATTAATCTATTAATAGAAATTAAAGTTGTTCTGCAAGACGTGAATTACTATTAATAAACAAATGTATTCTCATTTCTCTGTGGGTATATATAATTGTCGATTGTATTCTTCCACGGAATTCTACGTAATATATTAATTATGGATAATCGGTTACGATTATGTTTATAATAATTATATTCAAAAATGTCAAACTTGCCTGACGACAACATTAATGAATGAGGAGTATGAACCATCTATACATTCATGTACATACAAGTTTTTCCATATGATATAAATATGATAGTCAATTTTGAAATAGAAATATATGAATAAAGCCTTCGAAGTCAGAAAAAGAAAACTATTTTAGAGAGACATTATTTTTTATGCGTTTAGATATATAATTTTTATGCCATCAATTTGATGTTGTGCTTTTATGGCGTCTCCCTGCTCTATCTAAAAAAATTGTTGCCCCTCCCTTAATTTTTTCAACAGTATAATTTTATAAATACTTTATTGATAATTATCAGACAACAAATTAATATGCAATATTACGTAGAAATATGCATAAAAACTAATTATTTTTTAATATCATTTTAAAAATGTTGGGTTATTTTTTATAGTATTCTGGAAACATACGTACGCGCTCCCCTTAGTACCCCTGAGAACGCGCCCTACAGGTTGGAAACCGCTGGATTAATGTTAAACTATATTTATTTTAAAGCATTTACATTGCATAAAAATTGGAAAATTCTTAAGAACTTTCTGAATTATTAAAAAATGTATGAAAATATTCATTGATTATTAACATGTAACAAGTAACAATAGAACAGCGAAATATTACTTAAGAATTAATTGTCATCTAAAATAACTTCTGTAACAGTTATCTGATGTAACATATACTTTCACAAAATAATATTCAGTAGTAGTTAACAATGTTACTTTACTTTACTTTAGTAGTACTTCACTTACTTAATTAATTAATAACTTTTCTGGTGCTATTTGTCTGTTACACATATTTAGAATAAACATAGGTATATTACACATATTATATATTATTAGTATTTTCACTAATGGTGGCATAAAATTCTGCGTTGAAACGCATAAAAAATATGAATTCATCTAATTAATTTTATACATTTTTTAATAAAACTGCCTTAAGGATTTTACACATACAAATAAATAATTAAAAACATAAAGAATTTTAGAATAATCTGAATCATGTTTAAAAAAAATTAATAAGTTTTCCGTACATTTCGAGTCCCATTTTGACTCTTATTCAGCGCATGTGACATACGAATTATTAAAACTAAAACATAAAACCCGCATATAGTAAATAAAAGAATTGATCAACGGTCAAGGGTAGAGCGGGGCTTAAAGGTTTGCGGATAAAAAAGTCCACCACCTTTATATAGGGGGAAGTCCCGTAACGTCGGAAGGCACCTAATGCCGGACACTTTATTTAACACGTATTATTTTAGCAAGTATAAATCTTTTTATATCAAAATACAAGTGAAAGGGGCGCGGGGAGCACACAGGTGCACGATCATGTGCTAAGACTCACCTGTGACGCACACGGCCACGGCGGGAGGAACCCTTTGCTGTTTTAGGCGCAAAATCACGGCGTCACCTAAATATAAAAAAATGAAAGTCTTATCATGAATGCTCCAGCTGAGAGCATCGGTGTGGCCCAGCCAAAAGGGTGGATAAATAGTGATTTTTTTTCAATATTTAAGAATATTCGTCAAACACACATGTGCAGACACTCCAGAGTGTGAAAATGGCTACCTATGCGTTCAATACTGGTTATTTTGAAATGTCCGGTACTAGATGCCACTTTGTAAAATAATATTTCTTGTTACCAAAGTTTGATTGATAGTATTATTTATTTTTTAGCAAAGGTTGCGTTTTTGTTAGTTTAGTTTGATTTCTAACTTTGTTATCTGACATAAGTCATAATTTAATAAACATTTCGTAAAATATTGTTTGATTTATTTATAAATAACCTTAGGTGTCCGGCCCTCGGGGACTTTTCCCTATTATACGTTGTGCAAAAAATGCTTTTACAAAATATTTCGTAATTTTGGAAATTCAAAGTTTTCAAAAAAAAATCTAAATTTCAAAAAATCAAATTTCCACAATTTTTCATAATTTTCAAAAAAAACTCAATTTTGAAAAATTTCAAAAAACATCAAAATTTAAAAAAAAAGATTTCTTACAAAAATTTGAGAATATTTCGAAATTTTTAAAAAAATTGAATATTTTCAAAAATTTCCAAACTCTCGAAGAAATGAAAAAAACGTTTTTTTTTTCAAAAAATTCAAACTTCTAAAAAAAATTTAAATTTTGAAAAAAAATCTAAATTATCAAAAAATATCGAACTTTTAAAAAAAAGAACAAATTTCTTATAAACATACACAAAGTTGTTTGTACAATACGCTCGTCGCCTAATTTAAAAAACACGTTTACAGTATATATATATATATATATATATATATATATATATAATAAGTTTACTACTCGAAATTATTCAAAACAATTATTTTCATTCCTCGAATGTTTAATTACGGTACGGGAAGTTCCAGCAATTTGTCTTAAGGCACGATGCCATGTTCCCTTTAGTTTTTTTATAAATTTAGTTTTCCTTTCTAATAATATGATGCATGCCTGCTATAAATCTCGTTTTTAAATATCTGAATTATTATTACACACACACACACACACACACACACACACATATATATATATATATATATATATATATATATATATATATAAATTATTCTCCGACCATCCCGTGATGACAGGTTGATGCAGTTTCTATTGATAATACCTATTTTTAAAATGCAAAATATTATTATGCATACATTATAATGTTTCGTCGCGAATTGTCCGTCGCCGTCGATTTAGAAAGGAATATTAAATTCCATCGGTATGTCTCTATCATTGCATTTGCAGCGAGATTGATTTGCGGTTGCATTTCATTTCAGTTTCTAATACATCTTCAAGAAACAAGAAACATGAACGCATCTCTTGGGGCGATATGTCGCAGGTGCAGGGATGAGAAATATTCAATGATAATATATAGTAGATACTATTTTTTTTATAAATTTTATTGGCCTCCGCTTTACAGCATTTTTAGCCACCTACATTATTCATATTATTTTTCATCATATTCTATACAATACTTACATATATATCCTCTTGATATGTTCTTTTCATCTTTTAAACTAAACTTTTTTTTTTCATTCTTACTTCTAATACAATTCTTTCTTGTATTCTACAAATTAATATTTTATATTTTTAATTCTGGTATTGCTGGAGATTCGAACCGAATTCCTCCGCGTGTGAGTCGAGAACGCTACTGAGTGAGCTATTCCCGCCACATAGTAGATACTATATATTCTCTATATAGTCATTGAAGTCGACTTGATGATTATTATCGGTATTAACACTATTATTAACTTTCATGGAGCCAAAAAGTAAAATGATGTAAAAATGCTGTTTATTGTTCTTTTCATTTAAAAAAAATCACAAAAAAATCTGCATTGAAATAATGGATTTTTGTCATGCTCGTATTGCTATATCAATTTTTAAATTATGTAGGAGAAGTATGGACAAAATGACATGGTGTTTTGTTTTCTAATGATATATATTTAATAAAATTAAAATTAAAAGTCTATGATACTGATAGTCAATGAACCAAAGATGAGTAAAAACGATTGAGATTGGTTATCTAAATCGTTTGAGACTGGTTGTCTCAATCGTTTGAGACTGGTTACCTCAATCGTTTTCACTCACCTTTGGTTCATTGACTACCAATACCATAGTCTTTTAAATAAATAGAAACTATAATAACATATTTACTAACAAAAGATGCAACCCAATACAAAAAACCATTTTGTCCACATAGTACAGACAAAGATACATATGGGGTAAAAACATACTGAGATACTAATAAGGTGAGATACAAAGTTGAAATTTGGTATATCGAATGATTTCAAAAAGACCTTCAAAATGGCGCATAAATTATTTAAATACAAGGGTGTTAGTCGATTCTGTATGGCAATGCGCCCACACCCTTGCGCGTCGTAATTATTATGTACTTGACTGGCAGACTCTTGCAACCGTCAGAATGGGCTGGCTTTTTACATATGCTTTCTGAACACTTAAAAGAATACAACCTCAAAATTTGAGCCTTGTGAGAGCAAGTTATGAAAATTTTTTTTTGACATTTTCACAAATAGAAGGGATGATGACGCAATCGCGGAATGACTGCCAGAATGGTACTTTCTTAATGGATCGATAATAAAATATCATTAAAAAAAATTCTAGCTCTGAGAAAGCAGGTTAGTCAAATAGTTCACTGGCTCTTGGACTATAAGCTCAAAACAAATCTTACATTGTAACCAATCTTCATCAGGTTCAGAACGGGAAAGGAGGTTTTTGAAATAAATGCAAGTCTCTTTTTTACCGATGTTTCCTTTTTGTTGTTTTTTAGAAGTAGTTGAGAGCCAGTCACCTTTGACATGTTCAATTTTTATTTGGCCTCTAATGAACTACCCTGTAGTTTTTTCAAAATAGTGCTATGTTGTTTTGTCCAGAAGTTAACAAAAATGATAAAAAATACATCAAGCACCTGATAATTGGAATAAAAGACGTTGTTGTCACGAGGTGAACGTCCACATTGTAAATTTTTCATAGAATTTTTTTTTTTTTTGGTTTTGAGCACTGTTGGTTAATATACCACACCTCAATTTAATTTTTAAGTATACATTATTTAATTGTTTTATAGAGTGTATTTTCAATTTTAAGGTAGGATAAACAGTTTTTATATATATAACCTCTAGAATAGCTTACACGTGGTTGATTTAAATAGGAAATGGTCAAAAATTTTGGAAAAAATTGTAGAAAAATCATATTTCTACAATGATTCAGCTAAGAATTTTACTGAAAATAGTTCAACAGTTGTATGTATAATATGTGTTACTTGGTGTGATTTTCGCAGTACATATAATTTTTAAAAGTCAAATTAGGCCTTTGTGCCAAGCCCTACCCTTTTATAATATTAAATTTAGCATTGATTATTCTTGCAATATCAAAATTATACTTTGAAATCTTGCATTATTTTTTTATTTATGGAAGAGAGTTAGTGTTACTTGAACTTAGACACAAGGGAATTTAGCATAGACACAACGGTTGTCGGACAATAGCAAGTCCCTCCGAATGTATTTTGATTTTCTCAAATATGTGAGAGTTATTAAAACGTTTTCGGGGTTGTTCCATTCCGAACTGTTGAGGGCACGACTGAAGGACTTCTACTGTATTTTAGTTTGTTGAGTCTTGGATTTGTATGTAAGTTATATTACTATATACACTTATATTATTTAAAAAAAATCTTAAATTCTTTATATAATCCACTTATTCATTTCAGAATATGTATAGAAATTTATTTGTATGTTCAATTAAGGTATCCTGAGGATGGAATGTACATAGTTTCGACACGCCGACAATATACCATATTTAAAAAAAAAATGTTTTTGTACACACTCACACATTAACATGAATATTTTTTGAATATGCAGTATTGTAGTATTTGTACATAATACACAGCATTATTAATCTTGATTATGATTTATGTGACGTGTATGAATCAAAATATTAAAAAATAAATTTTAATATAATAATCCAGACAGTATGCTGGACCTAAATAAGCAATTTTGGCGGCATTTGTAATTCTGTTTTTTTAACAAAATACATTTCATTTGCTTATTCTACAACAGAACACAAAAGTAAATTTTAGAACTGAAAACTTAACGGCATTCAGAACCGCTTTTTCTGTTAGCTGTTTTACTGTACATCTTAACATAGTATTTTTCTCGAGCGTGCAACCCAGCGGTTAACCACTCTCATTTTTATTCACTCACACTACTCTCATTACTTTCATTTATAGACTATAAAATATGTATATGTAGTGGTGATAATTATTATATCAATGCCCATGAAAGGCTATTTTCACTTGAGATTATATTTGAGATTTATACGCTCGAATGATAAATTTGATATCGCACTGCTTGATATCGAGTTGGCTGAAGTTGGTATCGAACCCGGAACTGGTTGGTATTTCTTCACGTTCTTAAATGCACCATGACGTGCTCGAACATCAGAGTTATATTAATAGCGTTAGCACAACATAATTTATTATGAGGTGTTAAAATATAAATAGAACAAACTATAAGGTATTGGATTGTATGTAGGTGAATAAAAGATAAAACGATCAGTTTAACTATAAATTCGATCATTTGTTCGTCCACACTTATCAATATACAGACGTAAAATATAGGCTAATGTATATTCAGCTCTTAATCACTCAATGCAGTAGTTCAGACATCATACATTATTAACAACAAAATGTTGTCTACCGCAAATAAATCATCAAGTTGACTTTAAACAGCATCGTTTCTATTGTATGGCGTTGACAGCTGCTAAAACGGCAAACATGATGTGAGAGTGCTTCAACAGTTCGAGTTAATTGTAGTATTATATACCAGAAATCATTCCTCCCAAGGCATCCCGACAATGGACACGATTGTTTATCATATGATGCAAGAAAGTTAAGAAAATATTCTGATCCTCTCTACTTTCTTAGTCAAGTTTCGCTTTTATATGCATACGACATAAAAACATATCACTTTTATTCGCAAAACTTTTATATCGATTGCTCTTCCCATGCCCGTGGCGACCGTCTCGTTAATTATGATTTCTTCTCTTGTTTTGTTTGATTAATTTCTTTCAGACTTTCTATCATGCAATTTAATTTTCCTCTCATTTTTTCCAACAAATATCACATGTTTTTGCATCTATGTAGTTATACATACATACATCTATCTACTCGTATATTATATGATATCTATTATAAAAAAATATTAATATTGACAACTCTTTATTTATTTGTTCCGACACTTGATATGTGTCGTCATTCAAAAAATATATTTTGTAATTGTTTTAGAATGATGGCACATATCAAAGGTCGAATCAATTATTTATTATCTCTACTTTATTCAATTAAATCTCTACTATTTTAAAGTAGAAGGAAAATGATATGTAACCAGCTACCACCTTAATTTCTACGACGTCGCTATGAGGAGATAAACGGCCATGTATTAATATTCATAACAAAAGTTTTTTTTTTTGATTTAGTTGTTTTTTGGGCACTTTTCTTTAGTTTGTGATACCTGAATATAATTTTCAAGTATACATTATTTAATTGCATTGTAAGATGTATTGTCATTTTTAAGTTTTATACATAACAGTATAAATTTTTTTTAAGTTAAGATTTATACATAACAGTTTTATGCATATCCATTATGAACATGTATTATTTTGGCGTTACATTTTTTACAATTCAGATATTCCTGTAATATAAAAACATATATAAATGCTACTTTATTTTTTATATGATGGTTTTCACATTTTATATTTGGTTCTAAACTGCTTATTTCAATTGCTGTATTGTAATATGTTTCTTAAGAGGGTTCTGGACTAGAACAAGAAATCGATTTTTTATATTCTCAAAGTTTAACTATTCTAGATTGTGTGTACAAGATGATTTTTCAACATTCAAAATATTTTCGAAGATATAGATTTTTGACAATGATAGTCATTCTGTATTCCTTTCCTCGACGAAACTGTAAACGCGTTTTTTCGAAACTGTCTTTTCAATACGATACCCACGATTTCGAAATTTTTACTGGACCGATTTACTTGAAATATAAACAGTTTTTTAGGTCTTCTTATCACCCCCAAATTCTGTATTTACTCATTTTAAAAAATTTGAGAGTATAGAAAAAAGTTGTAAAAAACTTCTTCTAAACAATTTGTTTTAAATTGTCATAGATATGCAACATTATTCTAAATTTTTCTATCCGATTATTTAAAGGTCTAAAATCATGGTCACCTGCCAGTTTTTTTGAGACCCCCCACTTTATGAACTGCTAGAATTAAAATTTTTTAATTGTATTTGATTTTCAATTTTTTTCTGTATTTTTATTATATTAATAGATATCTTTGAAAAAACAGTGATAGAAAAAATATTGTTTGCCTTTTTTACGGACTTTTGAAAATTACATGAACTTTATGCTTCTAGACTAGAATACCCATAGATAAATAAGCATAAAGCATAAAGCAAAAGCAATAAGCATGAGAATACCCCCTTAAGAAGAACGTCGCCCTCTTAAGTTCATAGCATTATAATCTAGTCTCAATAATATTTTTAGAATTTCACTTATTTCAATTTTCTTTACCACTGAGAAGACTCGAATGTTAATGTTTGTATTTTTAATAAAGTCATAAAAACTTAAGCTTGCATTAATGTGGTTAGTTGTATGTGATCATATCAACTCATCGATCTTACTTATTATCATTCATTAGCCAGTTGCATCAACCGAAACCAAAATTGATTAATGGATGGCCTGAATGCGACTTCGTAGGAATTAAGGTAATGAGTGGTTACACATGCTTTTCTTCTCTAAAATAGTATCGTTACAAAATTTTATACCCGCGGACTCTCCCTATTTACTTCTACCCCACTCTACCTTATTTATTTCCAAACTTTTCTCTATATTTTCATAAAATGCAGTAATTTTCATATGGCGTTTGGCAGGTCGTGCTAGAGCAAAAAAATAATGACCCTACGAGAAGTTAAAAATTGAAGTGATCGTTAGGATAAATAAAATGATGTGGGGGTTTTTGTTTAAAGAGATTGGATTGTCAATAATGCATTTTTATTTGAATTTAAAAAAATCAATCTATAAATAAAAAGTTATATTCAATTATATCGTAATTTAATCATTTACTAAAGTGGTGAATATCTGGGAATCAACTGAGCATTGACTTCGGATTTGAATAAAAACAAAATGTCATGGTATTCCTATAGTTTTGTAATTAATAAATTTTAATATATTTTTATACACATGGAAATTATATTATGTGTGTGTGCGTGTGTGTGTTTAAATTCGAATTTAAACGACAGCAATATTCATGTGAATACCGTCGACATCGTGTTAATTTGTAAATACATTGTCAGCATGTCAATCAACGACTGAAAATCTTTCTCTTTTCATTACCTTCAGAGTGTGGCTGGCCGCTGGACCACCAGCGAAGCAGACAACCACGTGCTCGAACGTCGGGCAGAATCATTGGAGGCGAAGAAAGCAACGAGGACGCCTGGCCTTGGCAGGTGACCATTGTATATTTTATTCATTACTGATATGAATTCTAATCATCTAACACACTTTAACACTAGATTTACGGATGTTGATTATATACCTATTTTTACTGAAGTGAGCCAATTTGACTCATACAAAAAATGATTTTTTTTTGAATGAAATAGGTCCAAGGCAATTTAAATGTTCGTTATCAAAAAAACATAATAAAGATTTTTCACCACTTAAGTGGCATCGCCATACTTGTATGTATCAATGTATATAGTTTTATAAGCATTAGTTGTCAAATATCTCCCTTCCGCTTTTTTGCTCTTGGTTTATAATACAAAAAGGCGGAAGGGAGATATTTGACAACCTATTATATAGTCAACAAATTTTAATTGAGTAAAATTGGCTCGGGTCCGTAAATCTAGTGTTAAAGATTTCAAGTACTAAAATCGTAAATAGTACAAACGGTTTGTTATTTTTTTATTTTATGATGTTTGAATACTAGCCATAGTATATTTTTTAGTAAATAATTATTTTCAATAATAGTGCCATTATTGCATACACTATTAATTAAAAGTATGTACCTGTACTAAAATTATCTCGTCTATAAATATCTTCTGACCAGTGCTCATTCATAATGTTTAAACAATATATAATAATACATAATTCATTATCTCCCAGAAAATAATTACTTTGGAAAATGCTCATCAATAAAATAGATGTATTTTAACCACCCCATTAAGACAATTTTGCTATATACGATTTTACGAATATTACTTTACTGCGGTCTGGTTTACATATTTTTTATCCCGCATAATACGCTTTTTCTGTTATAAAGCTTTATGCTTAGGTTCCTGAAAAATTACCTTAATGGGATTTTAATGTAATTAATATCGATTGAAATAATAATAAGGGGAATTCCATTAATCACGTGATCAATTTTTTAAGGATTTTTGTACCACCCCTCCCCCTTGGTGATACGTGGTGATATTTAAAATTACTACACCTCCCCCACCAAACGTGTATTTTTAATTTCGAGAAAAAATTGTAAAATTTTTGATTTTTTAAAAAATGTTTGGATTTTTTTTAAATTCAGGTGAAAAATAAATACACGTGATATTTTACTATAACCCTCCTTTCTCCACGTGATATTTCGTGATTTTTTGTCAAACCCCGCGCCCCCTAACTGATATTCGCGCTCTTTTTGATCATTTGCAAAGATTTTTTTACGTTATTATTGGCTTTGCTGAAGGTTCTAAGTTTATTTATTTATTTTACAGTGGTACCTCGCATACCGAACTTAATTCGCTTGGTACGCGAAAAGTTTGCTATGCGAAACGCGTTTTTCCATACAAAATAAAATTAATTCATTCTGTAGTTTGAAATATGGTCTTAGAAAGATATATTTTACGTATAAATAAGGCATTTGAAAAAGTATTACTAATTTACGAAATAAGTTTCTATCATAATGATACTGATCTCTTTTTGCCCTTTTAGCTCCTGAACTTTTAAAGAAACTGTCGATAGTTAAAGAAACACTTTTACTCTCTTCTTTAAGACCTACCGCAAACGATAGGCAAGCTTATCATTGTACAAATGTCTGATCTTGACCTATATCCTTAAAGTCTGTTATAGACAATATGCTCTAGAAATCTGTTGATTGGTGTTTTCTTCCTCGGTTTTTAATCATCACTCTAAAATTTTGATGAGATGTGGTTAACCACAGTGTTAGTTTTTTTTCCAACAAGTATATTTTAACAGGGGGCGGAGGCAAAAATTTCCAACGTCCACTTTTTTAACTAATTTTAGCAACATATTTTTGACCACAAATGACAACGGTTTAGTACGTTGTGTGAAGCAACGTTCGTTGTGCAAAACGTTCGCGCCCAAAAAAGTTCGTTATGCGCAGCGTCTGTTGTGGTACTGTATATCGAATGAAAAAAAGTAATTTTTTCGATCTAACCATCTGAATTTTCTTTTTCAGGTATCTTTACAATTACTGCATCCTAAGTTTGGTTTTGTAGGGCATTGGTGTGGAGCCGTACTTATTCACCAAAATTGGATTCTTTCTGCAGCACACTGTGTTCACAAGTAAGATTTGCATTATTATATAGGATGAAAAAATACCGTCCTTGATATAAAAAGTGCAATGAAAAAAAAAGATCAGAAAAATCTAATAATCAGAAAACTAACTGACCAATGGGTTTTCTAATAATACAAGGTTAAGGAGTTAAATCACAGCAGCTCATATAACAAGTTATTATTACTGTTTTAAAAAAATATAATATAAAATGAAAAAAATATATTTGAAACGAGTTGCTATCACTTAAATATATACACTGTTACTCTTTGAATATGGTAAAAATAAGGAGATAATTTCTTTTTCATTTTGGACTCGAGATTATTTACCAAATATTAAATATTTCTACAATAAAATTGTGATAGTTTTATATTGAGATGAGCATTGTTTTTCCCAAACGGCAAAGCTCTCTTAATCTGTGCCACTGGTACATTTCAGAGATTTTACTAGGGAAAGGTCTGCTCCAATGAATATTTTAGTATAGCTTAAAACCAATAAGATTTGGCATAATCTTATGTTTTTAAAAATTGAAATAAGCCATCCCGTAACTCAATGGTTAAATTTTTGGGCTTCAAATTAGAGGTTCCAGGTTCGATATCCGACTTAGACAGCCTGGCTCAAGCGTTAGTAGCATCGGTTTTCACTTGAATAGATGGAAATATATTTTTGAAACAGCTTCTAGGACTCACAGGGAATCTCCTGATTGCAGTTCATGAAAAAACAAAAACAATAAGAATAATTGGTAACATTTTTCTAGTGAAGCATTCAACTTACCCCTTGCCGCCTTGTGGACAGCCGTGCTGGGCGACTGGAATCGCGCAGTTGACAATAACTTCGAACAAAGAATACCTGTCGAAAAGGTAGTTGTTCATGAACGGTTTCACCATTATCAACATGATATAGGTGAGTTCAGATAATTATAATATTTTATAATTATTAAAAACGCATTTCTAACAAAAACTATTTTAGTTTTAATGAAATTATCGAGACCGGCCAATATAACGCGAAAAAGTCGAGTGAGGCTAATTTGTCTTCCAAACATGTCGCAATCTTTTTTGTCAAATTCACTGGATAATCGACTTAGTGATCAAGATCTATTTGCAAGAAGGCTGTGGACTGCAACGGCTATTAATGATAATAGGTCAGATGTGACAATAATATAGTTAATAGGAACATATAGTCCAGTCATTTAGGCACAAATTTGGTAGGAATCTCGGAATTCGAGATACCCAGCTGTAAGTCTGTAAATACTTGTATTTTGCACCCTAAAAGTTGTTTCGAAACCTACATATGCTAGGGTGTACGCAACATATGTAGGTTTTGAGACAACTTTTAGGGTGCAAAATACAAGTATTCATAGACTTACAGCTGGGTATCTCGAATTCCGAGGTGAACTTACTATAATGACTGGACTAATATAGCTAAATATACTATTAGTTTCTTGTATACAGAATTTGGAAATCATCCAAATCAAACTCGTAATTGTTTGAAGCTAAAACCTTGTAACAAAGTAAATTCATACTGATTCGCTAATCCATTAATTTATGAAAACTAACTGTGTTAATTACAATTAAATGTTATTCTAATCACAACATCTATATATTATAACTCACTAGTGAATGTGTAGCTACTGGCTGGGGAAGATCTAGGCATTCTGGTGAACTGACAGATACCCTACACCAGGCTCGGGTACCTTTGCACGACAATTCGCTCTGCAGGCGAGTATACGGCAAAGCAGTCCCGATAAGACCAGGACACTTGTGCGCCGGTCATCTGGATGGCTCCTCCGGAACCTGCGTGGTTAGTAAAATATTTGAATATTTATTTTATACTAGATGACCCGACAGACGTTGTCTTGTACCCATGTCTACAGTTTTTTAATATAATATACTAATATTCACCGTTTACCTAAAAATAATAATTATTGTTTTTTAAATTACTCTTCACGCCAAAATGCATATACATTTATAATATGAGCGATGTTAAATGTAGAACTGCTTTAACTAAAATGATGAGTCTCAATTCCCACACTATATTGGAAATTGAAGTCTTAACACTTTTACTTCATGTTGGATTAAATTAATTTAATTTTTTATTATTTAAGATATCCAAAATTCCATCTTAAACTTCTCCTAATCGTTATCGTGAGGGCCGAATTGTATGTAATCATCTTTACTTTCTCATTTGTTGTTATGAAGTGAAATTTTTACGAATTTTAAAAATATTGTGAAAAGATTAGTAAAAGATGCAAAGAAATTATATGTTAAAAAAAACTATAATGAAAATTTAATATTTGAATCTTGTGTTGGCGCCCCCAAAGGCGTGCGCTCCTATTTTTCGATTAATACTTAATTTCATATTTTAAGTGAATTAATTTGTCATATCCTGTTCATATGTGTATCATTCAATCTGCCATACATATACTGTATTTTATATTATTTCAATTTCTGGCACATCTCAGCTGCTTTTTGGCAATAATAATGTAGATTTTTCATTTTTCTTATTCATAATCATAAATTTATTATACATATTCTAATATTATCTAGGTTTATAAGTAAATTGAAATTTTTGGCAGATGATAGTTTTCATTTGTTTTCAATGCAAACAATGACATACCGTTTTTTACTATTTTTCTCATTTATTTCTACAATATTGCACATACATCCCAGTACTTTATAATCACATACACCCTAAAAAATTTCCTTAACAAACTACAGAAAGATTTATCAAAATCCGCATAATCGTTTAGAAGGAGTATACAGTGAGTGCTTGTAATTTAATATGAAATTTATATAATAGCAATAAAGCTCAATTTGATTCTACATTTTAGTTAGAAAACGTTTGTATGAGAAAAAGAAAAGGCTGTCTTTAGGGTTTTCCCGGCAATTATTCGTTTTTTTCTCGCCGTAACAACCATCCTTGAACTTCAACGAACATTTTAAAAAAATTGGCCAAATTGGTCCAGGCGTTGTTGAGTTATGCGCTTACCAACACATTTTGCGATCCATTTTTATATATAAGATTTTCATTACTAATATTTATAATTTTAAAAATCGTAATATGCAATATAGGTTTATATTGAGAAACAATGTGCCAATGCAAATACATTCGTTGTGAGAATTGACATGATTTATTTATGGAGATTTTTCGAACTTCTTGTGACTAAACATAAGTATTTGTCTCATTTATTTATAAGTATATAAAAGATAGTACTATATTATTTGAAAAGTACGTAATAGTACATAGTTTATTTATTAAACAATATTAAAGTTACAAACGTTTCGACGTACTTTTCAAACTTTTCAAGTGCGTTTCACCCGAAAGAAGCAAGACAATGCATAGAGAATTCGTGACCAAGTTTAATCAAATTTATTAGATATATATTTACACTGATAATGAAATAATCGATAGTCTCGAAACGTTTGTAACTTTAATAGTATTTAATAAATATAGTGATAACAGAGTGCATACCATTGCTTTCATTGACTAAAGGAAGGTTAATTTTAAAAATTGAAGATGTTACTCAAAAAGTTCTTACCAACAGTGGATTAAAAAAAAGTTTTGCATATTGACTCACCATATGTTGTTTCAAATACATTAATTTACTTTACCTAATTTTGTATATAAAATTTTAGGTTCTTTTATTGTTTACAGTTTTTTTCCCGACATATTTTTATTTTTCACTAATTTTCTCATACCTATTTAACCACTCACAGATATCATTTTTTTTTAAGTTACTATTTATTTATTTATATATATACATTATTTTCATATCTCAGACAGACGGAGGTGCCTGGTATGAGAGATTATGAAAACAGTTTTCATATTTTATATATACATTTCATTTAACTTATTTCATTAATATAATATCTATTATAATTAAAATATCTTTATATAACTCTTCAGTCTTCTTTGTCTTCAATTTCTTTATAATATTTCTTTATTTATTTAAATTTATAAATTTAAAATTTATCGTCATCATTGGTCATCTTAATATCGTTTGACAATTCATTATATATAAATTGTCATAATTTTATATAAATTCATTATATAAAAATTTTGCTAATGTTATTTTTTGCTATGGAGGGATTTAACACGTAAACACGTAATAATATACAAATGACGTATCTAATACTTATCTTATTATACGCATGCTAATAAAAATATGTTTATTAAACATTTAGCATATTAAATTTATACTCAATTATATTGCTGATTTAAAGAGATAAAAATGCAGGCAATAAGTAAGGCAATGTTATAATTTCTATTTATTATAATTTTCAGACATATTAGTTGATTTTATATAGTTACCGCCTTTATTTTTAACAAACCAAATTTACAAATATTATTTTGCAAGTGTTCCGAAACATGCAAAATCACAGCAGACCCGTGAAAAAGGCATGCTGGGGAAACCACGTAAAAAACGAGCTAAGCACACTGCCTCGTACGTGGCGTTTAAACGTACTTTTCAAAGTGATATATCTTTAAAATGATGGCTCTGAGCAGAAAAAAGTATAGATGCATTTTTGTAGATAATTTTATGCTATACAATATTGTCTCATGTAATTTTGCTATAAAACTGACCATTTAGCTAAAAATCGCAAAAGGGTCATTTTTTGACCTTTGACATTGTGCCATTTTTTTTAGCTCGCATCGGATCGATGGGGACTTCTGAGATTTCTTTTATAATTGTATTTTAAACAATTTTGCCAAGTTACAGCCCTTCATGAATTATAGTAACCTTGAATGCGTAAATTGACTTAGCTAATATATTTAATACCGAAAACCTGTGCTAAAATTTTATCTATCCGCAAAATTAGTTAAAATTATGTTGATATTTTTAGTATCAATTACATTTTTTAGGGCGACTCCGGAGGACCCTTACAATGTCGTTCGCCGGAAGGCCGATGGTTTTTAGCCGGGATAACATCATTTGGTTCTGGTTGTGCACGACTGGGCTATCCAGACGTCTACACCAGGACGAGTCATTACACGAGCTGGCTAAGAGCGAAAATCACCGAAGATAGAAAACTGGAAGAACAGGAAGATGATTTGTTATAGATTTTGTATTTGTTAAATATATTTATTTTAGCTTATGAATGCTTGTCATTATTGATATGTTGTAATCATCACGTTACTATGATCAAACTTTCTATTTGGTAAGATAAATAAGCTAATTTTATGATATTATACCAGATTTTCAAAACGGTAGTGAAAGTTGTGACATTCTGGTGCAATGGTAGTATCCTCGACCTTGCAACAACGTTTCGAACTTCGGCCTTATGTACAACATGAATAATCGGAAGTTCCAGGTTTCCCAGGATTAATCATTTCCATCAGAAGTTTCATGTTCGATACTCGTTTCAGACAGCAGTAGTCACATTGATTTTCGCGTGAAAATACAGCAATATGTTTTAAATTTCAACCTGATAATAAGCAGTAGTGATCACCAAAAAATATAGATGAGCTGCGCGCGTGGGTTAGTGATTAGAAGTATGGGATTTAAATCAGGAGTTTCAGGTTCGATACTCGTTTTGCAGAGTAGTAGTCATATTGATTGTTACTTAAAAATATAAGCTATATGTTGCCTAGATCCCGACTCGAAAGGCGACCGTGGAGTTGTCTTCTTATGGCGTTGAGTATTAAAAATAAGCTTATATATCACTCGGATTGTAATGAAAATCAATGGATTTTCTACTAATAACGTCGTTCTTTGTAATAAGCTTACAAAATATATAATAGTTTTGATTGCTGTAAAATAACACACAAACGTAAGGCAAAAAATATAGACTAAAATATATTTGCGACAGAACATAGCTTTTCGGGGCATTGTTGCAATATATCACGATCAGAAAGTACGATCATTGTTATATGATAATTTGTATGGGCAATCATTGGGTTGCCTTCTAATATCGTTCGTAAATAAAATTCTAACTAGTGGTGTATGGCATCGTGCCTGAAGGCAAATTGATAGACTTCCTGTACCGTAACGAAATGTTCGAGAAATATTAAATGTTTTCGAATAGATTATTATAAATAAATACTGTGACATTGTCAAATATTTATAATAATTATATAAACTGAATTGCAAAGTTAAAATTATTTATTAAAAGTATATAAGAGAGCTTTAGAACTTCAGCAAAAATTAAAATCTGAATTATTTTCGATATACAAAAAAAAATTGAAAAAAAATTTTTTTGAAAAACAAAAATTTCAACATTTTTTTTCCAAAAGCAATTATTTTGTTAAAACAAGCAAAAAGTTCTTTGAATCATTCAAATCGAACGCTTAGTTCTCTCAAAAACTACCATTTTTTGCACATTTAGCTCTGTATCTCCGTAACGGCCAAACCTGCCTTTGCCAAAAACTAATCAACACATCTCCCTATCAATAGGAATCGAATGCTTTTTAAACCATTCAAATCGATTGATCGGTGCGCCCGGAAAGGTGGACGAAAAAAATGCTGACATACAAAACACACACACCCACATACATTTTTTCTGAGGTATGCCAAAATGCTCAGAAACCTTCGAAACGTGAAGATATGCAAAAAATTTCATTTTCGATTTTCGGCCCATTACTATAACTCTACAGGAAGTTAATAAAAATAAAAGAATAAGCACCGTTTACAACAGCTATTAAATATCATTTATTGTGCAATTCTGCTGCAATGCTTGGCGATGGCTATTTCAGTTGGAAACATAATGATATCTACATTTCCAAGTAAAACCGAATAACACTACTGATTTACATCAAATTGCGAAACCGAACCCTGGCCTTTTCATTCAAGTCCATTCGTCCTAACCACCTAGCTACGAGCGAGCCTGATAATAATGCATAGACGAATCTGAAATATTCTTTTTCTACGTATCCACGGATTTAAACATTCTGTATATAGTTTTTAAAAATGCATTTTTGGTATATAAATTGGTACGATTGTCAAAAATAATATTTACCTCCATTGTTCAAAACAATACTGTAAACTGTTGCGTAATAAGTTCGCCCTTGATAGTAGAAATATTAAGAAGAGAGTTTGTAGGTGCATACGTCGCGTTTGCCAAATTCGTAGGTTTAGGTAAAGAGAATATTCTGAATTAAAAGGTTATAATATACATACACATCGTGGCATAAGTTTTATATGTCGAGCAAACGTTAATAATAAAATTACAATAGTTTAAGCTATAATAATCATGTGTTTTTTAAATGATAAACAATATATAGGTTTGTAATAAATTTTTATCGCATCGACTTTACAATTATAATAGTTTGCAAAGTAAACATTACGAAAGTTTATCGAAACGTTTATATTGGCATAACAATTTGTGCAATTTACATCGCCGCCGCCGAGATTTAACTATAAATTGACGCTAGCGTAATTCGTAGAAAAAGTGTTTTAGGTAATTCATTTTGTTCTATCAAATATTTAATACCGTGAAATCTATTTATATTTGTGTCTGTGAAACTTGTGTTTGTGTAGTGTGTAATAGTAAACTTGTAACACAATCGGCACAGTAGCGCATTCAGCGACAAAGGTAAGAATTTTAGTAATTTGATGCATGCAATAAACTTACAGGATTTAAGAATAGTTTAATAAAAATATTTAGGTCCAATTATATAGTTGCAAATTACATCCAAAATGGATATTCCTTTATTATCACCAATTTCAGGTACAAATAAATTAAAGTGATTTTATTTATACTATATGTGACCATAATTATTACTTATATACAATTTATTTATTTTGAAAACAGTAAAATATATTTAACATGATATCTGAGATAAATCTTAAAGAATAGGGCTTTCATAATATAGTAATCTATATTGTAAAAAGCTACTTCATAAAACATACACATGAAACGTTTGGAACGGAACACATTTTGTATTGTCATTTCAATATGATTGTACACATTTTTTATCGGATTGAAAACTTCGTTTAATGATTTGTTTTGAAAGCTGTTTCATCTAATAGCATTCCAATAAAACAAAATTTTACAATATAATATTTGAGAAATATTTTGTAGCTGTAACAAGTAAAAACTGCAGAAATATTAACATTGGAATATACAATAATGCAAATTCTTAATAAACCCTGTAATCCGACTAATGTGCTTGATAAACCATATTACAAATCCATTGATTCTTTGAAAATTGAAAACTTAAATTTGTGAGTCTTCAAAAACTTAACCAAAATAGTTATTTTTATTTGATTATTATCAAATAAAAGAAACAAATAATAATGTTATCATACAAAATTGTATTCTAACAATTTGTTGAACTGGCCAAACATAATAATTCGTAACCCTAATATATTTACTTGCTGTTATTACTTTGTTTAATTGATTGATTTTATCGATTATATTTGGTCATAATTTTGGTAGAATGTCCTGATTACTTTATGCCAATTGCTCTCAATGCGATTAGTATTATACCACACTCAATAATAAACTTATTTTTCATGTGTGGCCTTTGTTATTAAAATTATAATCCCTATAAAACATTTTAACAGTATTTATATTCATAAATACGTATTTCAGTTCCTTTTTCTTACATAATTACCTAGAATTTTTTTAAAAAAACATTGATTGTTTAAAAAAACAAATAGAAAAAGATTGTTGATAAAATATATTGCACATGCATGCTGAACTTGAATAGTTTTTTGTAAGGTTGAAGAACCAGCTTTCACCTAATTGCGATATCTTATGATTAATAAATGAGTCTTAACTAAATATGTGTTGACCCAAAATAATACACAAGATTATGATTTTTCTATGTTGTAATTGCCGTTTAAACTAAAAATCTGACTCATGATCCGAACTCTTCAGTATCACTTTCAATTGGTCCAAATGTGTAGTTGCCTTGTCCATCAAATTGGAGAACATGGTCATGGTACTTCCACAAAGATTTTCTGTGCGACACAGTGAACAGTGTTATTCCAACCTAAGAACAAGTTAAAATTTAAATTAGGCAATACAATACTAGATCGTCAAAAATATAAATTCAAGTATTTTGTATTTATTCAAATGCTTCAAGTTTTCATAAACGTTTTCCTGAGTAATGGTATAATTTTACCTGTCTGCAATATTGATACATGCTTCCTTCAACATCAACAGAGACCGCACTGGTGCATTCATCTAATATAGCAAACTGAGGTCTGTGATAGAATAATCTTGCCATCTAAAAATAATGTATATATTATTATTTCCACATTGACGTTAATCTATTTTGATTTGCAATCAGTCACCAACCGCAATTCGCTGTTTCTCGCCTCCTGATAAAACATCTATCCAATCCTCGACGGCATCCCAACCATCCTTGCGGCTCTGAAGATGTGTTAATTGCACCAGTTCCAAATAAGATGTTAAATCATCATCAGATTTACCACGTCGTTGCATCTCCTCACGTGTGTGGGGATATATAACCTAAGGAGAAATAATTTAGTTTCACCATGATCAGTCGAACATTTTGGCATGGAATTTATGATCAATTGATAGATCTAACTGGATATATTTGAGAATTATATAGTCTTATCTGTTTTCATTATCATTTACCTGATCTCTGAGAGTTCCTAGAGTCATATAAGGCCTTTGAGGTATGTAAAACAGTTTTCCCGAAGGAGGTTTGGTCATTGAACCTCCCCACAAAGGCCACAGCTCTCCAAGTATGCGGAACAAACTTGACTTGCCACAACCATTGGGTCCGCATACAAGCACATTTGTACCAGAACTTTGAATGATTAAAATCAATTACAATCTAAATATATACTAAGCCCCTCTTTCATAAATTTTGTGATGTGATTAAGTGGCAAGTATCATTAATCGGCAATATTTGAGTAAATTAAAGTATAAAGTACAAAATTATTCAGAATTTATATTTCTTACATATCTAGGAAATTCGTTCTCCATTTTCATGCTTGATTTTCAGAATTAAAATTTCTTCGATATGTAACCGTAGCTTTAAACTGCTTGTTGCTAAATTAATATGGTCATATCAATCAATAAATTTAATTACTCAATACAAAAACAACACAAATTTTCAACAAAGAATGCAAAAAATATAAAAAATCTGCTATTCTTAACTGTTATTTCATTAAATATAATTAAAATACATATTCTTCGGAAACATTGAAAGTAACAAATACTTATAGCAATGGTAGTAATTATACTAAAATTTGATACAAATGCAAATAAATTGAGGGTAATCAAATTATATATTCGTTCTCAAAACATTGCCTTTGTTTGCAATTTATTATACTTAAATTCAAAAACAACGTTTACTTCATTACTAGTATTGTTAGTGAAAAAGCAAATAAATTAGACATTAGCCATAAAAAGCTTTTAAAAAAAACTTACTTTACTTCAAAGCTTAGCTCTTTGACCAGAACATCTCCATTGGGAGTAACTAATGGAACATTTGCGAATTTGATAATATTGTCTTTATAAACCATGCGACCACTACCGGGTACTAATTTCACTTCTGAAATGGTAATAAAATTTGATTTTAATGATGCAGTATTTAAAAATAGTAGGGTATGAAACTCATATGAAATATATTATATGAACCATGGTTCATAATATCCAACATATATAATCAATATTCTTTATTTATACTCAAAATCATTACTAGTAATCCAAAGAATCTATATATTATTCTTACCAGCATTAGTTGAGTCAGTAACCATCGTTCTTTGATAATGCCCATTATTCAAATCCTTCAGTACCACAATTAATTCAGTAACTCTAGACGTAAAACCTGGAAAAGTAAATAAACATTGATCAAAATGATCAGAATACATATTAAAATAAAATCTCTGACCTGCCAGTCTCGTCATTTCTCTGCCTGCCAGCACAAGTCTGCCAATAGCTTCAGCTAATTTTACTAACATCCTTCCATAAGTATAATAGTGCTATCATAAACAAAATAACATAAATAATGGAAATAATCGATCTTTGTGTTCTGGATGGGAACATAGTCCCAAAAGTATATCTAATTTTTATTAGTAATTTACCCTAAATCGTTCCGTCTTATTATGTCCGGTGAGTAATGGATGATCTGCTTTGAAGAACGGCATTGATACTGCGTGGAAGCCAACAAATGTTGCAAAATCTAAAATGTCACAAATAAATTAGTCATACAACTTTTCACAAAAGTGAGTATGTTTTTATATTTTGAATAATTATATACTTGCATTTTGCTACTATATTATCTATAACGCCAATAAATACTTTGAATTCCAAGAACTTTCTTAAATGGTCGGTGAGTTTCTTGAAAGCGGCGAGAACTGTAAGTTTCTCACGGTGGTTTCCGTTGTAAAATGCTATCTAATAAAATTGAAAGGGTAACGAATTAGATATATTTAAACATCAATGATAAAATTAACATTTTTTGACCTAACAAAAATGCGTAATAAAAATTTTATATACGATTTTATAAATAAAAGAACGAAAAGGTAGATTATACTAAAATTGAACTAACTTCTTCAGAATTCGTAATAAGTCGGCTGTTAACATATCTGAATTCGCCTTCGAGTTTCTGTTCTGTTACGGTCATCCTTCCTGTAAAAAAGATTGTATCAGTATTAATAATATAAAATTTATCTACAGAAATATTTGGGCAGATACACATAAACTTCAATTTTTTCTGTCGTTTTTTTTTTTTGTGACGTTGGCTACGAATTTTTTATAGTTATCAAGTACTTTGTGGAATGCGATTGTTGAATATTTAATTCATAATACTGTTACATTGAATTCTTTAAGCATATTTACTAAAAATTTTGCAATAGGACGAAATTAGAGTACTTCAGAGATTGAACGTGAGATGTCTTTATCGTACATATTTGCTTTGGCCTTTGCTACCACCAATAATTTTTTTAGGTTTTGCAAGAGCGTTTGAAACCGATGTTTACTTCTAAGAATTACTTTCGCGAACGCTATTAGAACTAATTGTAAGGCAATCCAATGCTTGTCCTTACTTACTAACTGTTATTTATGGAGTCGATTCTACCGCATAACAGAAAAATGTTATGGCAAGGCCATATTATGAAGAACTTTTCATACAAAATATTGACAAAAACCATGTGCAATCAGGCGTATTTCTCAGGTTGTCAGATAGAAAACATAACCTATAACCGCACAAATTTCAAAACAACGATGTTAGATAACAGGGTCTTTCTGACTGAGGTTCATAACATACGAGTGACGTTGCAGTTTATGTATAAAATGCCTGAATGCACAGCAAATATGACATTTTGACAGTATTCAGTATGATTCAGTAGCTTAAGGTATGGAAGTTGGAGCGTAACATGGCCTTGCCATAACATTTTTCTGTTATACGACAGAATCGGTCATTTCCGCCCCAGAATTTGCTTCTGAACACTATTAAAGGGCAAACCAATTATTATCATTTTAAATTATATTGTTAAAGCAGTGCCCGTCAGTATATTTTCGCTTGAAAGTGAAAAACTGATAACAAGCCCGATACACCCGATTACCTCTGTGCTGTGAACCCCCATATTTTAACAATAATACGTAATATTATTATTTTTTATAAATTTGAATCAATTTACTTGTAGTCTTTCATCTCGCAGAATGTTTTGTTGAATTTAGTAAAATTTTATCAAAAAAGTTTAGTTTAGTAATACGTAAACTTAGTAAAAAAAAATCTGTATTAACAAGATTTTAATTTTTTAAATTATTTTAAAATCAAACATTTAATGCAAAATAATCTGATTGGAACACAATTTAACTTGGATATCGATATCACAATAAAAAGAAGGATTTAGTACAATTTTGGACCAGGATTATTGTCTTAAAACATCTCCATATTATTTCCAGACGGTTTTTAAAATTGCACAATTGTTAGATGATATTTTTTTATATTCATTCCAATATTTTTAAGCGCAGTAATAAAATGGTGGATACGTTGACCTCGTGTTAATGAGTCAAGGTATAAAATGCATGCATTATATTCAAATTACCTGTAGGTCTCCTCAGGTACGTCAAGAAAACTCCGGATACAAACAAGTAGGCTAACATAAGAGACGGCGTCTGAAACATTTAAAATTTTAATTATATACATACCAAAATATGCTGTAATAATAAAATTGGATATATCTATATCAATATATATTGGATATATTGGATAAAATCAGTGAGATAATTTTTTTTTTGATTGTGTAATTAGAGGAAGCCAATAAAATGTATATAAAAAAAATTTTCTTGCTTGCCCAAAAAAATGTTTTTTGAATTTAGGTTACAAATGTTACGATTTTTACAAATACTTTGATCACATGAATATTTAGAATGATTAAGTGTAAATTATATATTGAAAAATTTCCGATATTTCGAGAAAAACGCATATTTCTAGATTTCGCAAATACTAATCAGTTTCGATAACATAGATACGGTGTCCAAGACATTCATAATTTTCATTACCAAAGTATGCAGTATTAATAAAGTTGAACATAATTAACAAGAGTCGAAGGTGAAACCAGTGAGATAAAATTTCTATTACCTGTCCACCCAAATTTGCTGTCAGTCTATACACATATATTATGATGTCCAAAATGGGTTTGCAAATATTTCCATAAAGATCAGCTACTGTATCACAGAATTTATCAATGTCGGTTGTCAGCAACTGATCTGCATTTGCTATGCGAGTGTCCAAATTTGACATTTTATAATATGTAAAACCCCTTCAAAATAAATGTAAGAATTATAAAAGTTGACTAAATGTTACACATATTTCTAATTATAAAGTCATTGCACAATGGAGAAAACAGTGATATATTTTACTTAATAACAAATTGATCACTACGTAGTTACTAAAGAAATAATTACACAGTTTCTATAGCCAATGAACCTATATATAATTGCAATTTGCTCAAGCTATTAAATTACAAATTAATTGGAACTATTTTAATTAGAGTATTACTAGCTTCAATTAGTTTTCGAGCATATTGAGCGTGTAACATCCACATTGACTAATATAAATTAGGTAAAACCCTAATAATCTTATTGTTAATATTTTTCTAATACTTACTTTAAATATTGCGAATACAGATGATGGGTCATATTAGTCCGAAGTCTTAATTTTAATTCTCCTATACTCCATTTTAGTACATTGTTAACTACTGAAATCTGTAATAAAAGTCATGACTTAAAAATTGCTTCATTTTTCTGGCCAATAGTCATTTCATACATTTAACAGCATTAAAACTTACTAGAGGCATTGCACCAAAATACCTTAGCAATCGCTTTTGGAATAATTCTTTGTCCATATTAACAATAGCACTAAAAATACAATAATAAAAAAATAATAAATTTAAATAAATTATAAGAAGCAACAAAAAACTGTATCATAAAGGCACGTGCCATCATGCATAAATTAAAATGTTGTACTAATTATATGCAAATTATTTATGCAGATTAGGTATAACTATGCATTCACTAATGATGTATTATAATTATATTAATTATAAAAATATTAACATAATTTTAATAGTTTTTTTATAATTAATAGGAGCAATAATTCAATTTTAAGTATTTATTTTTTCTTATTAAGCATGTAAATTAATACAAAGATCAATGTCTTATTTATAAATGTTACAATTAGAGAAAAAAACTATACTTGCGATATTTTAATACGTCAGACTTAATTTTGTCTTATATCATTCGTTGAAAACAAAAAACAGAACATTTAATACATACAATAATAATTTATAATATACAAAAAACAATATTTATAATTATAAGATATTCTAAGCCATAAACATCGAGTTACACCGCAATTTATATTATAATAATTTATTATATTATAACATTTATATTTATAATTGTCTCTTTTAAAGAGGTTACACGTGCACAATTTGAAGTAAACGAGAATATAACTAGGGGTAAGTGAAATCCTACCACAAGGCACGTTGTAAAAATTTTCCAATATGTCTAAATAATGGACGTAATCAGATGAATAAAAATTTAGAATCAGAAATTTTACATTATTGTGACAATAGTATTTAAAATATTAACGCAGCCCGTTATTCCAAACTTTGAAAAATAATTATAATTGAACTACTTTTCTTACAAGACCATGAACTCTATAATCATACAAAAAACTTGTTTTACAACAATAAACTACAAAGAAACAGCCCAGCCGATCTTTACAAAAAAAACTAATGAGCATATTTCTCAACATCTTTTGGAACAGATTTTAAAATTTCAAAATCGGTTTAAAATATTTGGCTTAAACGTAGGCGAATTATTTTACACTTATATAATAATTATGTATTAATTATAAAGAAACGGCCTGGCTGATCGTCTGGCAAAACTAATTTATGCAAGTACCTTTCAAGTTATATCATAAGATTGAAATTTTTCAATCGGTGCAGCCATTTTTGGGAAAACGTCGACAAAAAGTCATTTTTTTGGCTCACATACACGCCCACATATACATACTATTTCCAATCTTAGTTTCAAACGATACAGAATGACTTGAAACGCCAAAAAATGAACATATTGTTTTTTTCTGGACAAAAATATCAATTATTTTGGCTCAAATACACACCCACATATACATAAAATTTCCAATTTTGGTATCAAACGATTCAGAATGACTACTTGAAACGCCGAGAAAATGAGCAAATTGTTTTTTCTGGCGACAAAAGATCAATTATTTTGGCTCAAATACACACCCACATATACACACTATTTCCAATTTTGGTATCAAACGATACAGAATGACTTGAAACGCCGAGAAAATGAGCAAATTGGTTTTTCTGGCGACAAAAGATCAATTATTTTGGCTCAAATACACACCCCACATATACATACTTTTTCCAATTTTGGTGTCAAACGATACAGAATGACTTGAAACGCCGAGAAAATGAGCAAATTGGATTTTCTGGCGACAAACACTTCTTCAGGGAGTTGAAAAATCGTAAATATTGAAATTGATTCGAACATAATGTAAAAATCTGAAACATATTCAGGAATTTGAATCATTAAATTGATTTATGTTTGAATTATGATTATTTGTTATTCAAATAAAGTTATGTTTATGGTAAATAAATTGCCTAAAATTCTTCTTACAAGTTCAAATGTTCAACAAAGCTTTAAACAGTAATAAAATTAACCCTTTCCACTCGCGAATTCCGGAATTTATACGTATTTTGTCACCGGAGCGGAGGCATTCGAGTCGAAAGGGTTAATACATTTTTTCTTTTGAATTTAATTAAATATCTAGTAAAAATATAAAGCGAGCCACAGCAAACATTTTAAATATAAAATACAGATGCATGAATATAAATATATATGCAGAAAGGATGCAAAAATAAATTCTCGGATAATTTCACATTTATCTTAAAAATTAAATATCTGCTTTAACATATACCTTTCAACTAATGTGCCATTTTGTATCATCCACATATCGCAAAGGGATCTGCAATTAATGAAAGCTGCTACTATACTAGAA